GCTAAACTTAAAATCAAATTAAAATTGAAAATATAGCAATTATTAGGTCCCACTCGTCTAATAAAAGTCAACAATAACGGCTAGTTTTTCAATTTTAATCTGATTTTAATCTCTACCGAACACGCCCTAAACTTGTTCGAGGCAACACAAGAAGTTGCTTGACTGCCTAATCCAAATAAAAATGGTTCATCTGTTGTAAACATTGGATCCCAGAGACCGCCCAACAATTAGAAATCAATTCAATCCTGATCACTTTCACCAAATACTATACATTGTAGACAGATTTTTCTCTTTAATTATGAAAAAAGACCCCAATGAAAGTTTATGTTTGTTTTAAACTAAGGGTCATTTATAATTGTACCATATAATAACTCATTCAATTACATAGAGCACAGAGGCAACTGGAGTATAAAGTGGCTTGGATCTCTCTGTTTGTCTAGTTGATAACACTTCTATTCATCGGTACAGACCACTTTAGTGTGAACCAATCGTTCTACAAGTTTTGGCCTACCACGTGAATCCTAATACACATTTCATTGGGACGTCCCCACCATTGATGCACTGCATTGTATCTCGGGTACATTGAAAAGTGAAGAAGGGTTGATCGAAAATGATTCATTAATATTTATTGGAGAAAATTTTAATCGGTTGTTTTTCCTTCAAACTTTCTGTTCAACCACACGAATCTTTATCGTCTAGTATCTCAATATATTTTTACTATACAAAGAAAGAAAAAGCAAAGAAGGAAAACATCATTGACCTGGTTGACCTGTCATTTTCTAGTTGACTTGACTTAGTCTTGTTGACCTAAAGTGGCATCCACGTACCCATCTACTGATAACTGACAAACTAGTCACGTCAATCAGTCGATGCAAAAAAATTTCCTCTTCCCAATTCGTGAATGATGATTCAAAGGGTCCCAGTTTTCCACCTCCATGTAAAATATTTTTTGGAAATATTATCAAAGCCGCGTAATGGTACAAAAAAAGTCTGTCTAATCCGTTGACATTCATATGCATTTTTTTTTTCGAAGTGAACCTCATGTTTCATTTTTTCTTTGTCAAGCGAGGTGAAAATCTTGGGTAGAACTGTAGAAATATTATACTAATGCTGAAATACATCAGATAAGCCATATCACTTTGCAGCAAACAAGATTCAGACATAAAAAAGAAGCTAAAAAATGAAAATGAAAATTCCAATTTCGTAGAGAATTTGAAACTGACCTTGCTCGATGAAGACTGAAAGCCCGAAATCAATTGCCTTCAATGGAGAATCTTTCTCACGACTAACGAGCAAGAAATTCTCAGGCTTAAGGTCTCTATGCATCACACCCATGAAATGGCAAACATGAACCACATTCACAATTTGCCTTCCAATTTTTGCTGCCTCTTTTTCAGAATAACTCCCTCTGGCAGTAATCCTATCAAAAAGTTCACCTCCACTGCAAAATTCCATAACCAAATTCACATTTACCCTGTCCTCATAGGCACCCTTGAACTCAACAATATTGGGCTGTCCAGTCAAATGCTCCAGAATCATAATCTCCCTTCTCACGTCTTCTACATCTTTTTTAGTCGCCAGTTTTTTTACGGAAATGGATTTGCATGCATATTTGTAGCCAGTTGCCTTATCGGTGCAAAGATAGGTGATTCCAAATTGCCCTCTTCCAAGCTCTTTGTGAATATCATAGAATGTTTTAATATCTATGTAAGGCTTGCCTAAAACTAGGCCAATTTCGGAGGATGAAGATGGTGCAGGAGTGGTGGTGATTCTTGGCAAAAGTTTTGGAGACGGAGCTGGTTTTGGCGGCGGTGGAGGTGGAGGTGGAGGTGGAGGTGGAGGTGGTGGTGGTGGGAGTGCGTGGTGTTGTCGAATTGGATTATACCGAGGACGAATAGGAGAGTCTGAGGAAGATGATGATATTGGGATTTCTCTAAATTTCGAGAAACAGAATCCCATTTAGAGAGCTGTGTGCGTGAGAGAGAGAGAGAGAGAGAGAGAGAAATGTTTGCAGATTTGTAGAGAATAATATTGGTTGTATTTGTACTTAGTCGAGGTTTAGGCCCTACTTTTTAAGGTGCTTTGCTTTGCTGTTTGGTTTTGCACAAGTATTTTATATTTAGTCCCTGTTTGAGTAATATTAAAAGTTTCATTCTCATATTCCTTTTTTTTCAACACATTTTTTATCAATCTATTATTTCAAAATACATTCTTCCAAAATAATGTGACTCAAACATACTCTTACATACCATAGGTTTTATTAGCGCGAGTGAAAGCGTGTTTCTGCATATTTTTATACACGCTCATATGGGTAAAGTAGAGTGGATGTGATCTAATTCAATTTGAATTAAATATAACTCAATATCAAACGATTCGATACATTAAATCAAATCAGTTAAAAACCAATAATTCGATTAAAACATTTTATATTGTAAACGGTTGTGAATGATTATTTCACTTTATTACTCTCTCTTTTATTCGACAAAGATGTTAAATCATTCCAAATAAATATGAATTCATGTTAATTTATATAAATTAGCTTAATTTCATGATTGTGACAAAAAAATTTGAAATTGGAATTAAAATTGATTCCGTAGTTAGCCCATGTTTTGTTCAACTAAAAGTTGGATTAAAATCTAAGTTATAGCTAATAATTAATTTTAATTACATATTTTATGAGATCCACAACTTTTCATTCACACATTTTATCAACTTTTTATCAAAATCTACTAAATTTTTTTTTTATTTAAACGAAATAGGAGCTTAAAATCAAGAACGGAATCAGAAATTGTTTGAAATCATAGTGATAATTTTTGCTTCGAGTAGTTTCGAAATCTGTTCATCCCTATAAATATATGCACTTACGCGTGGATATTATACGAAAGTAGACTCTAATAGACAACCCATTTTTCGAAAATATTTGCAGCAAAAGGAAATTTCAGGGACCATTTCAAAAAGCCGCACACGTCAGGGATTGAAATACAACTATTGGAAATTACAGGGGCCAATCTGAAATAAACAGTACATACATGGGTCAATTTGTAGATTCCAAAAGGTTTAGGGGCAGCTTTGCACACCCAAAAAATTAAGGTCTCACTAAACGTTTCAGAAAATTTAGGGACCACTTTGCAAGATGCCAAAAATCTAGGGGCCAAACTTCGAGAAATACAAGTAGGGCCGGGTAAAACCCAACCCAAAACAACCCAAACCGCTCAACCCAACCCTAACCTATTGGTTTGGGTTGGATTTTAAGTTCAATTGGGTTGGATTTGGTTTGGTTTAGGGTTATGAATTAAAATCCAATCAAACACAATCCTATAAATGAAAAAAAAATTAAATAGACACAATG